ACTTGAAAAATAACTATTTGTCATAAGTATAAAAATATTGCCTTAATCCGAACCTGCTCAAAGTATACGCATTCAGATTACTTCACACACTCCACTTCCCCGCAAATTTGGCTTCATCGGTTCCCGTGCTTTGGGGTAGGAAACGTACACTCTAGGTGCTCTGTGGGGACAACACTGAACCCTTGCAAACATTGTGTAACATGTAACTGTAACATACTAAAACTGTTTTCTTGTTCATTAGAAACAACTGCGCTTCTACCAAAGTATATAATAACTTTTCTTAATGCTGTATTAGTAACTTTTTCTAATTAGGATGACGTTTACACACAATCAAGTCAATGTGGCTGATAATCAGAAATTCTAAATTATCTCGCAAATGGCTCGTTTGCGAACCCATGTTTACTAAGACTGTTTTGCTTCTAGTACCGTGTACTTACAGCTGTTTCAATTTGCGCCATTAATTACGGTACACCCTGTATATTTACGTATATATTATAGGCAATTCTGTTTTAGCTTTAGTTTTAATACAAATGATGGCTGCTTCTCTGCAGCAGCAACAGAATAAGAGAATAAGAGAGCTCACTTGCATCAGATATACGAAATATTCAAAATTATTTTTATCAGATTAAGAACTCATAAAACTAGCGGTTTTATGTATTTTATTCTGAGACTTGTTGCATACTATTTTAGAATTCTGGCACTTTTAAAGAAATTAGTAACTGTATTCTGCAAAAATATTTATTTTTATCATATAAGTATAAATACAAATATAGTTTTAAAATTATAAGTAAACAAGTTAATTTTATAATTTCCATCTTTTTTAATCCCTTTTCAAAAAGGATCTTAAGCTAAATAATCTCCGATTATTATTATTGACAAACTTTATGTCTCATTTCTCGGCAAATCGTTTAATGAGCATTCCAGTTCATGGATACGCATATTAGAAGTGCTGTCGAAGAAGGTGCACCCATTGACGTCGAACTGACAAGACACCTTCATATCATTAGCCATCTCCTCCAGAGTGTAATTCCTTGATCCGTCTAAAGAGGCCTGGCACGTGGGACACTTCTGCAGTCGCGGCTTACATTCATTACAAAAGGTATGGCCAGTGACACAAGTGAATATCGGAGCAGTCATATAAGCCATGCAATAAGGGCAGCTGAGCGCTCTTCGAACGGCCTCCACGTTGCTTTGCGATGCAAATTTACCTTCGTTTCTATCTTCTTCCTCCGTCATCTGATCGGGATCTTCAGTGATAGTTTCATCAGCAATCATTTTTATGAAATATCTGAAGGAAAAGTCATATTTGTCATAAAAGTCAGGATGATACCAAAAAGTAAGTCAAGCCATTAACAACGACATTTTTGGAGCAAAGGTAATAAAACCACAATTNTTTTACTTACTGTACAATACTCGTACACAACTCCACGTCTCGAAAATGTTCAAAAACCACACTACGAACCGTTTTTACTACACAAGAAGTAAACAATAAAACTGGTGCTCAGCGCAGTGACGAGAATAAGCCTACATCCGAGTACAGGGACGATACTTTGAACGCTTGCAAACATTGTGTAACGTGTAACTGTAACATACTGTTTTCTTGTTCATTAGAAACAACTGCGCTTTTACCAAAGTATCTAATAACTTTTCTTAATGCTGTATTAGTAACTTTTTCTAATTAGGATGACGTTTACAAACAATCAAGTCAATATGGCTGATAACCAGAAATTCTAAATTATCTCGCAAATGGCTCGTTTGCGAACCCATGTTTACTAGGACTGTTTTGCTTCTAGTACCCTGTACTTAGAGCTGTTTCAATTTGGGCCAATAATTACGGTACACCCTGTATATTTAGGTATCTATTATACGCAATTCTGTTTTAGCTTTAGTTTTATTACAAATGACCGCTGCTTATCTGCAGCAGCAACAGAATAAGAGAATAAGAGAGCTCACTTGCATCAGATATACGAAATACTCAAAATTATTTTTATCAGATAAAGAACTCATAAAACTAGCGGTTATATTTTATTCTGAGACTTGTTGCATACTATTTTAGAATTCTGGCCCTTTTAAAGAAATTAGTAACTGTATTCTGCAAAAATATTTATTTTTATCATATAAGTATAAATACAAATATAGTTTTAAAATTATAAGTAAACAAGTTAATTTTGCAATTTCCATCTTTTTTAATCCCTTTTCAAAAAGGATCTTAAGCTAAATAATCTCCGATTATTATTATTGACAAACTTTATGTCTCATTTCTCGGCAAATCGTTTAATGAGCATTCCAGTTCATGGATACGCATATTAGAAGTGCTGTCGAAGAAGGTGCACCCATTGACGTCGAACTGACAAGACACCTTCATATCATTAGCCATCTCCTCCAGAGTGTAATTCCTTGATCCGTCTAAAGAGGCCTGGCACGTGGGACACTTCTGCAGTCGCGGCTTACATTCATTACAAAAGGTATGGCCAGTGACACAAGTGAATATCGGAGCAGTCATATAAGCCATGCAATAAGGGCAGCTGAGCGCTCTTCGAACGGCCTCCACGTTGCTTTGCGATGCAAATTTACCTTCGTTTCTATCTTCTTCCTCCGTCATCTGATCGGGATCTTCAGTGATAGTTTCATCAGCAATCATTTTTATGAAATATCTGAAGGAAAAGTCATATTTGTCATAAAAGTCAGGATGATACCAAAAAGTAAGTCAAGCCATTAACAACGACATTTTTGGAGCAAAGGTAATAAAACCACAATTAAAAAAATATTTTTGTTAATACCTATGTTGTTATAGGGGATCAATAGGCACTAGGTAGATATACTTATTAAGATTCATATTTCAAAAGATAATGGAGCTGATTATTGAAAACTTATTTTATTTTGAATTTTTGGTATTTTGAAAAAGGGGCGCCTAGGTGTAAAATGGCATAAATAAGGCTTGACTTCTTTTTCTATTTTCTTCCGAAAACACATTATATACAAGGTGCTCCTTCCGTAAAAGGTAGCTTCGTTGAATGGAAATATACCTGTTTAGATTAAGTTGCGTGTTTCTTTAAAGAGTTCTTTTGAAAAAAAAAAAACAGTTTTTGAAATATTCCAACCATGTGATAAGAGTTTTTGAGGTAACCGAAAATTAATATGATTGTTGCTATATACAGAATGGTCCCGAGGAAATGGGCCGAACTTACCTTAAGTTGATAGTTAAAGAGATACAGGGTGTTAAATGTAAAATATTATTTTAGTTTTTTCATTTATTTCTAAATAAATGTAAATATCCACACAAAATTCTGTTCATATTTTGGTTACAGTTCATAGAGGGCGCTAGCTGCAGTAGATCGAATGTATTAAAACGACATAACTTTTTTATACTTTAAGGTATCTCATCTTTGATATCAGATTCTTATTTTCCTACTTTTTTTACACAAAAAAAGTATGCTTTATGAAAGTAGCTATCTCGCATCATTTTCGAGATGCTTGGCTTTGAAACTTCCAATAGTTGAAATAATTAAAATAATTTAGAAATGGCAAATGCAAGGGTTTATTTAGAATTAAAAATTGTATTGAACAGTAAAAAACATTAGCAAAAAATATAAAAATATGCATTTTTAATAATAATTGCTCAAAATGTCCACCTCTAACTTCAATACATTTATCAACGCGTTTATTAAAAGATTGTCTTCCTTTAAAGTATAAATCCTTATCGCGAAATGACTCCAGAGCATTTAAAACCTGCTGCTAAAGTTATTCCCAAGTGTTTATAGTTTCTATATAAACAACTGATTTCATGAAACCCCAAAAACAATATTCCATGGGGTTGAAATCGGGGCTGTGAGGAGGCCATGACATTCGACTCCCACGACCTATCCAACGATCCGGAAAAGTTTGATCAAGATAGTACTTGGACAGAAAAATGAGGGGAGCCCCATCTTGCATGAAGCAGAAATGTTGCCGTAAATTTAATGATAAATCATCCAGGTAAATAACTAAATGGTGCTGCAGGAAATCTAAATACAACTCACCTTTCAAATTCGGAGGAAGTTAATGTGGACCCAGATGGTGGTTCACTATAATTCCACACCAAACATGTATCTTGAATTCTCGTTGAAAGTGACGCTCAGTAACTACGTAAGGATTTTCATTGTTCCATATGTGTTTGTTTCTAAAATTGAAAACTCCTCGATGGGTAAAGGTGGCTTGATCGGTAAATAGCACATTATTTAAAAATTCACGGTCAAGGTTTTGCCGAGTGCGTATAAAATGCGTAAACTGTAATCTACATGGGAGGTCTGCTGGTAAAAGATTTTGAACTGGTGTAAAATTATAGAGATACACCTTTTCCTTATGAAACATTTTTAGGACTGTTGTTTTATTTACACCGGTGCGGTGGTTCTATCTATTTGCTTACTACTAACTTCTGGATTTTCTGGCACCCGGGTTAAAATTTCTTCTTATTGGTCTTCTGTAATAGTGTGCCTGATGTGTCCCACATTATCCCTTTGAGGACGAAAAGTGCCAGTTTATCCAAGTCGATTAAAAATGTCTTGAAATAGCTTTCGTTTTAGCTGCCTTCTATTTGAATGTAACTCTAAATACCAACGATGCGCTCTATGTAACGAGCGTTCAAATAAAAACGTGGTCGGAGTTGGCTCTGACACATTGGACGTTGGGAGTAGCTTATAGCGACCAACTTAACCTCATTTCTCAACTAGCTGTATAGCAGCTGTCAGTTTCAATAACGTTAATGACTATATAACTTTATTTTAAAGAATAATCGTGATAACAATAACAAACAATTAAAGGAGCTGCGGAAAGTGTCCCCCTCCTTGTTATAACAATAAATTAAAGCAGCTGCTGAAAGTGTCCCCCTCCTTGTTCCAAGCACTTTTCACACCTGTTCCTCAAAGAATTAAAGACATTTTCTAAGATGCTCGGGGTATTGTTAATTTCACGAATCTTGTCTATAAGTCGAGCCTGCAGATGGTTTAAATCAGGAATAGGCAGTTCAAAAATAGTGTTTTTAAGGTAAGGCCACAAAAAGAAATCACACGGCGTAATATCACATGACCTCGGTGGAAATTCATGTTCAGCATTGAGACTTATTAGTCGATTTTGGAAAACTTCCCTCAACATATTCATCGTCTCGCCTGCCGTATGTGCCCTTGCGCCATCTTGTTGAAAGTAAAAGTTTGTAATTTCGTTTTCTTCCAGCTGGTTAACAAAAGGAGCGATAATTTCTTCTCTATACCTTTGCGCAGTAAGAGTACCATTAAAAAAAATAGGTCCATAAATCCTCCTTCGATTGAGAGCACACCAAACTCCAATTTTTTGAGCGTGTAGAGGGCCCTCGACAAAAAAGTTATCTGGTTTTTCAGAAGACCACATTCTCATATTCTGTGAGTTTACGTAACCACTTAAATGAAACCAGGCTTCATCAGAAAAAAAGGTGATATTATGAAGTTCACCGTAGTTGTTTAAAAACCATTCACAAAATACAGCCCGTCGCGGAAAATCAACTTCATGAAGTTCTTGCTGACAAGTTAAACGATAGGAGAACAAACGCAAATCTTTTTTTAACACTGTGTGGCAGGTACCGACTGATACTCCCACCATTTGTGATAAAACACGTACAGAAGTTCTTGGCGCATTTTCCATTATTTGTTGGACATTTTCTTTTAATTCTTCAGTCCGCTTTTTAGGTCGGCCGCTTCCTTCTTTTCTTGTTACACTGCCCGTTTCACGAAAAACATTAACACAACGCTGAACTGCACTTTGAAAAATTTTGTACTCAACAACGCCGGGAAATTGATTTTGAAATTCTATGAAACATTCCTCAATAGAATACTTCCATATTCCATCAATCTTGCGTCCATTTCTAAAGTAGGACTCTATGATAAACACTTTTTGTTCTTGAGAAAACACCATTTAAACGCTGTTTAAAACGAAAATATTCAAATTGATAGCGGCGATATAGCGCTTTGACAAATGACGTTGAAGTTCATTTGCTATACGCTACGCCCTACGTCCAAATTTTCAGAACCAACTTGACCACGTTTTTATTTGAACGCTCGTTACAATAAAATCTGTTTGCGTATAAACGCAGACCATATCACGCATTCCTTCATTTGAAAAGAAATTATGTCTCGGCATTCTATCTCACTTTTATGTACATACAATTTAAATTGTAAGCTAAGATGTAATTTTAATTAGGTATGAATAATACTGAATGGAAAGTAGCATACAAATGACAGCAGTAAGACAAGTGGAAAACGTCATTT